CAGGAGTATCGATACTCGAAATTGCACCAAAACCCTGAACCCTAAACCGAATATAACAACTAAAACCCTAAGCCCCTTTCAAACCCTAAAACCCTACACGCCTAAACCCTAAACCCTTAACCAAACCCTTTTGAAACCCTAAACCCTACACCCCTGAACATCAAATGTCAGCCGGGTCGGCCAAGTCTGGATCCACAGGCTCCGTGACAATCATCTTTGGAAACCTCCGTGCGAGTTTAGGGTGTTTTGGGGGAGCTTTGGGGTTTTGGGGGAGCTTTGGGGTTTTGGGTTCAGGGTTTAGGGTCTAGGGGTTTAGGGGTTTAGGGTTTAGGGGTTTAAAGGTTTAGCGGTTTAACTGTTTAGGGTTTAGGGGTTTAGGGGTTTCGGGGTTTAGGGTTGGGTATTCTACAGCTTCAAGGGGATTAAAAAAAGGAAAATTGGGAACCCGGAGATCGCAGCTCGGTCCTATTGCTCGTACCATACCACAACTATGACCACAAGGAAATCGCACCTTCCATATGCCATCGGTTTAGGGTTTAGGATTTAGGGTGAAAGGTTTAGGGTTTAGGGTAGACCAAAAAGCTGCAATCATGCAGCCCTGACTGGTGGTACTCTTACAGCCGAGGTCATGGCCAACGGGACAAGTAGTCGAGCTTTTGCGTTTCCCCGGTGGGCGTGAACCTGGGCAGACTTGATACCAACCTAAAGCACCAAGACTAAATCGCCTTGAACCCTTAACCTCAAAGCCCTCAAGAGGGGACCTTACACCACGTATGCCCAGGTCGCAAACCTTTGCAGCTCCAAGACCAAAATAACGCTTTAGGGTTTAAGACTTAGGGGTTAGGAATTGGGGTCCCCCTAAACCCTAAACAGTTTAGGGTTTTGCGTTTAGGGACGGTTTGGGGTTTAGGGTTTAGGGTTGTAAACCCGGAACCCTAAATCATAAACTACAACAGAAACCTGCAAACTTAAACATGCAATGCCCCCCTCCGCCCTGAACCCTTTAACCCTTACAGCCTTAAGCCCTAAACACCATGGCACTTCGCACCCCTACTAAAGTTAACTTTTAGGTACCACACAAGGAATATAAGGAAACCCCAGAAAGTTAAAGGTCTAAGGGTAAACCCTAAACCCTAAATCCTAGCAGCCCCCCTAGCAGACCCTCATCTGCACCCCGAGGCCAAATCGCAACTCCCACGGGCCAAGGTACCTTTGGGGCGTTAACAATTAGAATAGGGTGTTGGGGTATGTGTGCTATAATTATAATAAGCACCTCCCAAAAATGTGTCAGTAATTATTAAGGCCCCTATAGCACCAGGAAGCTCAGGTGCTGGATTGCTCGCCTACCTACACTCAAACATGTGAACAATACGAAGGAGCCCCACATGCGCTAAACCCCACAAAACTCTAAAACATACTGCCGAAACCTACCCCAAAAGCATAGAACACTGTAAACATCAACTCTGAAATCATGAACAACCCTCAAAGTACCCGATGCCACTCTTAGAAGCGAGCGCAATGGGAGCTCGCGCGCACTGCGCCTTAGACACTCCAGGCGTCATTCGTTTTGTGTGCGTGTGTACATAGGTGCTAATATGTTGGTCTGCTTGTTCGTTTGCGTGTGCGTGCGTTCATGCAGTTGTCTGTCTTACTTTCCCAATAAGCCAGGGGAAAAAAAGCAAGGTCAAACTTTCAGGTTACTACTAAGTTATAAGAACCCCAAAGGTTTAATGGTATTGGAGAACTACTTGGAGGGTCGGGGGACTTAGTAACTAGTTATTTTATAGACTTATAAGTAATATAACCCCAATTAGGTTCACTTTTAAGGTACGTATAACTCTAATTACTTGATATCTACATAGTAAGTCCCCCGACCATCCAAGTAGCTTGCGGATACAGGTAAGGTTTGGGACTTGGAGCTAGGGCTCGTAGAGCCTCACTGCGAGGCTCTGGAAATGCCTCCATAAATCTCAACTTGTGAAGCCACGGTTTAGGGGTTAGGGTTTAGGGTTTTCAAAGGTTTAGGGTCTAGGGTTTCAAGGTTTAGGGTTTAGGGTTTAGACATTAGGGTTTAGGGTTTGGGGTTTAGGGGGAAACCACCCTCAATTTACAATAGCCGTAAGCCTCTGACCTAGGGGTCTGACAAAAAAACAGTGGTTACAGTCCTTGTATATCGCTGCTCTTGTACCCGGAACAGTATTCAAACGATTCAAACCCTAAACCCTAAACCCTGAACCCTAACCCTAAACCCTGACCCTAAACCCTTAACCCTAAACCCTGAACCCCAACCCTAAACCCTAAACCCTAAACCCTGAACCCTAAACCCTGAACCCTGGTTACAGTCCTTGTATATCGCTGCTCTTGTACCCAAACAGTATTCAAACGATTCAAACCCTAAACCCTAAACCCTGAACCCTAACCCTAAACCCTGACCCTAAACCCTTAATCCTAAACCCTGAACCCCAACCCTAAACCCTAAACCCTAAACCCTGAACCCTAAACCCTGAACCCTGGTTACAGTCCTTGTATATCGCTGCTCTTGTACCCAAACAGTATTCAAACGATTCAAACCCTAAACCC